TTGTATGTTGGATCGAATTTTTTTTTGAAAAGAAGATTGGCAAAAATGGAAAATAATTTTTTTGTTTCATTTCAACTAAGTGAAACATAACATTTATTGGTTGAGAAAAGTTAAATTTTGTAAAAAATAAATAAATAAATTTAGCAAAAATAGTAGAATTATAGAATCAGATACAACAACAACAAACAATTTTTTCTTAAAAACATATTCTGACTATTCACATGTGAAAAAATTGATGACTTAAAAAAATTTTTGGGTTGACTTACATTGAAAACAGATTGATATTCAGATTTTTCTATTGTTTCGTAGATTGAAAGAGAACAAAAAAAAATCAAACATCAAATCAAATTTGTTAATTATAAATATTCAAGATGTCAGAATTTTCAAATATGAAAAGAAATGAGACGATCACTTTTGATTATAGAATTCGGTGATGACAATAAAATTATGATCATGACTGAAAGTGATCGTATGGTAAACTGTATTCTTTTTACAATAACCGTTGAAAAAAATCGAAAAAAAGAAGTAGTTTTTTTCGCATTCAATCACTATGATATATAGAAATAAAACTTTTAACCCATAGTACGAGAAGGAAGAAGAGGAAAAAAATCCAAAAAAAACTGGCAGCATTGATCAATAAGGAAGATGATACTTGTTCCTGAGAAATTGCGCACATCATTAAGGAAATTTTTTTTCCAAATTACATACAAATGCGCGCCAATACAATAACAACAAATGATTATGATTGACGGTTGTGAAATGCTAAAAACGAATTTTCAACAACAAAAATTAATCCAAAAACAAAATGAAAGAAGAAAAATTCTTGCTTGAAAATTTTTCCACAAAGTGATTTACATTAAAATCATGACAACAACAAAATAATCATATATGTTTTCGTGATCATATACTATTATTTGAAATCATCACAAAGAAATACATAAATTATAAAGATTTCATTTATCGAGAAAAAATTTTATTCATAAAAAAAAGACGAATGATTTCGCCAAAAATTCAAAAAAAAACAAACAAAATAATAAATAATGGTTTCCATATGAAATTTGTCTACAAGATTATTGAACAATATGATCGAATCATACCTTTCTGTCTTTTTTCTGAAATACAGTCAATCATACAGATTGAAATTGAAAAACATCGTTGAATGATGTTTTTTATCCGCATCTATGTCGGAGGAGGGGAAAGAAGAAAATTACAAATAAAACAAATGGATTACATTCGGAAATGGAAATCAATTTTATTCTCTTTTTTTTATTGTTCACACTTTTTTTTATGTCATAAGTGAAAAAAATATCGATTTCTTTCACTTTTGTCTGTTTGATTTCAAAGAAACAATGATGAAAGATATCGATTTTTTAACCTTTTTTTTCCCAAACAAATAAAAGACTGAATCTCATGCCAGGGTGATATTTATATTGTGATAAGCGTCACAGTTTACAGATCATTTACATACATTCAGTAAGTTTAAATTTCTGTTTACAAAACTAAACAAAAGCTATATGCGATTTGGTAATAACTCATTTTTAAATCCGGTATTTTTTCCACTATATATTAGTTTTTCTTTTTATTCAAATTCGATAACCGGGTAAAAAAATCATTGATACAACCAACCGGATGTTAATATATAAACATAAAGATCATTTAATATAGATTAAATGAAAGGGGAATATGAAGAAGAAAAAAAATATTACAATCTGTCGTCATCTGGTGATGTTTAATAATGACTAGAACAAGGAATTTTCATCAAAACCGATTATGATAATGAATTTATAATAATAAACCTAGCTAGAACAACGACAAAAAAAAGCTAAAAACAATATACTAAATCCATAAGGAAAATTTATGGATTTAAGAAAATTAAGTTTTTTTTCACATAATTTCTCAAGCGAAAAAAAATACAATTCAAAATGAATTTCGGACAGACAATTTTGACAATCTTATTCGTCTTGTAAGAAGACAAAAAGAAAATGGATGTCAAATTGTTTTTTTTGTACAGTTGCTATGTTAACACACAACATGTTCAAATTGTTTGGACCTGATCTAGTAAAAAAAAGAATAAACGAGATAACTTAGCTAAATGTTCAAAACCAAAATTAAATTTTCATTCACCACTCGAAAAAATCAGTATACAGAATTACGAACCAAACAAACATAAAATCAAAACTTTCACACTGATTCTACATCCACGTAGAATAGATCTCTTGACAATTATTTGGTTGTTAGTAAAATTGAATTTCCAATTTTTTTCTCGTTCAATTTCATGTTATACACACATTGATTTTCAACCATCATTGTCAAAATTTTTGTTTTACAAATTTTTGGAAACACTTTCATCTAACGGTATCCGTAATATATCCGGCATTAAACTCATGCCAAACATTTTGTACAGTTATATTCAATTATTTTAAAATATATTTTACTGACAAATTACTTGAATGAAAAAGAAAGAAGAAGAAAATTTTGATTTATGATTTGCCTATATGATGTCGTATATGGTACAATTGAAAGTCAATTTTTTCAAAGATAAAAAATTATTAGAAACAAAGAAAACAAGTGAAAAAAACATTACTTGATAGGGAAAAATCCCTTGATTCTAGGGCATAGAATCTTTAAAACCTCAAATTCATTTTTATAATTTGTCATTTTCATTTGAGTTAAAGTCAAGATGTTGTTTCCCCCAACAATCAAGCAATCAAACAATGGAATCATGGATAACGCAAAAAAAAATTAAACTTTTAAGATTTCAATTCATTTTTTTCTCATCATCTTTTTTTAATTTCATTGTCATATTACTGAAAATTGAAAAGTTTTTTCTTCTTCTATCACTTTTTTTTCACTTTTATTTCATTGTTTGTCATCGTTGTTGACCAAGCTTAGTAGAATTTTGACACTAATAATGGATGTTGATGATGAAGATGATGGAAGGGAAAAAATAAAAAAACCCAGATTTAATAAAATCCATTTTGAGACAATGAAAAAATCTTCAATTTTTTTGCTAAAACAAAAAACGGTTATCGGTATAACCGTGTGGAATCTATACACCCAACTATTCATTTTTTCATGATGCAATTTCGATTTCTTTGATATATTGATAATTTATTTGAGTGAGAAAAAAACTAATCAAAATGAAATTTGTCAAACAACCAAAATGAACATAAAATCTTACATTTTTTTTGCTCACCCATTATTTTTTAGAACAGGGTGACATATTTTGAATATTACAACCAACAATTTACACCAGGAACTTTAAAATACCAGGCATTCAACGATGATGATAATGATGATAATAGTGGAATGAAAAAAATTTACAAAAAAAAATGAAAAGACCATGGGTCGTTACCAAAAAAAAACTTTTTTTAGAAAAAAAACTGAAAAACAGTGAACAAAAGAAGTGAAAAATTCTTGCCTAATTCTTCTTGTTCTTGGCTTTTTCACTGTTTCCCACTCTCTCTTTTGGAACCATTGTTATTCCATCCTGTATTTCAATTACCGATTATTGTAATGTTGAAAGAATGAGAGGATGTGTGGCAAATAAAAACTGAGGGAAAATATTCTTTTTTTTAAAACGATCCATCATAGTGTCGATGGCATTGATTACCAACACAACAATTCACATTGTGCGTCAATGTGTTCTTATGATTTTTTTCTTCATCATCTTCGTCGCTGTCGTCGTTATTCAATTTACATTCAACTAACCATTTCATTGCATTCATTTTTTTAATCCATAGAATCTTTAAACGTTCATCATAATCAACAACAACAACAACGGTAGCGATTCTTTCGATCATATTCATCATCGGCTGAAGTTATGGAGTCAACTCGATTATTCGATTTCGTCATTATCATCACTAGCATAGTTATGAAGAAGAAAAAATCTTCGAAAATAACTCGAATTCAATTAGTCAACCATCTGCCTCTGATGTGATCTGGTTGAATGAATTGAATCGCAATATATCATATATATAAGAAAAAGATCTTTTCAACATTTACTTCTCAACAATATAATGTATGACTTTTTTTTAAATAAATTTTTTCAAGAATGACTTTTAGAAAAAAATGGGCCACATCTGGACAATTATGTTTTTTTTAATATTTTGTCTTTATATATAGCTCAATATTCATTGTTGATTGTTGTGTACATTTCAATTGGATTAATTAGAGTAAAATATCATTAATAATTTTATCAGTGAATTATTGGGATCCATGGGTGGGCAATGTCTTTCAATTGAATTTGAAAATAGAATGATATAGAAAAGATGACTATTAAAGTACAAATCATCCATGAATTGAAAAATATTATATGTGGACATTGAAATATTTGATTTTTTCAATGAAGAAAAAAAATTAGACAATTTTATAAGAAAAATAGTGCACGATTCTGTAAAAATCAAAGAATATTTTCGTCAATGGATTTGTCATGAAAAAAAGAATTGGAATCGCGACAAAGAATTGAGAAACAGACAAACCAATCAAATTGAAGATACACAAGCAAAAAAACATCTAATTTTTGTAGGATTTGAACCAAAGATAAAAAATGTCATTGAGCTTTGAGCTTTTGTATATGAAAATAATCAAATTATCATACAGTAAACTGCTATAGTGGATTGGATGGTAAGATCATGTAATTTGTGTGTCTAAAAATGTTGGCAACAATTACTTTGATTTGAAAGAAGCAAATGTTTTTTTCTTGTGCCTCCATATTTCCAGAATGATTCAACATCCTCATCATCATTATCGTTTTGTTTCTTTCTTCAAACTAATTCGATTCTTTATTTTTGTTTTTTATAAAATCTCTATTCTTTATTCATTTGTGTGATCGAGGAATTAGAATCGCAATGAAATTGTGAACATTATTTCATTGTTGAATTTAGACTGTTTTTCTGTTGATCTGAATTCGATTTTAATAAAATATGAAAAAAAAAATCAAGAATAATAACATTTTAGGATCATTATTGTGTTCCATATTAACAAACTAAAAGAAAATAACGCCATCTTGTAGTTTGTATTTGAAAGAACATATTTTTTATCGTAAAAGAAGATACTAATCCTCCAAGGATGATGGTGTTGATGGAATCGTTACCGATGATAAATGAATTTTAATTGATGATGATGGTTGATTTGAACCTAATGACGATGATGTTTGATCATTATTGGTTATCGTTGTTGTTGTTGTTGTTATTTTCGAATGAAGTTTTTTTAGATTTTCTTGATATTCAGTAGGCAAGTTATTCCTCATAAAATATGCGAGCATTGCGAATGCAAGTATCATGCCAATTGTGGCTAAAATTATTGGAAAAATATTGAACCAGAAATGTAAAGCTGTAGACGTAAATAAATCATTGATATCTGTTTCCATTGATTTGAAAGACGGTGTTTCATAATCACATGTTACATATAGTTCCGATTGATTATCATTTTGTTTGATGATTGTATTGTTGATATTATCATTAACATTATGATTATGAGGATTGTTGACTGTATTATTGGCCAAAATAAAAGCATCTACGTTTTTGTCAAAAATTGCGATTGTTACAATCAGATGGAGAAATCCTATGAACATATTAAATGATTGAAAAATCATAATCACGACATTCAAATTAAATGATCACCAGTATTTAAATGATGGCGAAAATCCAAAGCGAACATTTTCTGCTTTAATCAAATAAAATTTAATTAGAATTTTTTTCAAAATTAATAGTGTGATAATTTAAATGAAAATAATAAACACTAGATGGCCATACTGTTACCGATTCTTTTGTCTTGAACAGTTTAATTTTTTTTTCTTATTGTTCATACATAACTAACTAAAATTCTGTCATTGTTTTTTATTCAATTCGCAATCACTGAATTCATGTAAACACATTTTGGAATTTTTCAAACAACAAAATTGAAAAAAAACAAAAATTTTTCATTTTGTTGGAAATTATTTGTCGTAATAATGATTACTGCTGTCCTGGATAATAAAATATTTTGTCCATCAAAAATGACTTGAATCAGCTAAAAATTCTAAAATAATTCATAATTAAATAAATTATGTCAATAATAATGATGACACTAATTTACTTAAATCTTGATTTCGGTTACTAATTATTTTATTAGTTAATTTGACAGGCCAACGTTTTGAATATAATGTGATTCTAGTATCTACAATCGATTTTTTTCTCCAAAAAAATGTTAAATTAAATCATAACAATTTTTTACTTCATCTACATGCTCACCTCAATTAATCGATATCGAGACTGAATTCTTAGAAAAAAACGGAAGAAATTCTTTGTTCCAAGAATAAAAGATTAAGATCAAATTTTTCTTTTGTTGTTTACTTTCTTCGAAATTCTCTATATCGAACTTTAACTTTTTCGAAATTAATAATTGAATAAATTTCATCTATTTATAATATCTATGATTATCACACCAATAAATTTGTTTATATAAAGACTTAGTTTATCTTTGATTTTCAATGATGATTGTTAAATCAACACAGAAAACAATCAAATGAAAACCAAACAAACAAAAAAATTCTGAATTATTTTGTAGAAGATTTTGTATTATTGTTCAATATCGATCTTGATGTTTGATGATGACCATTCTAAAAGAATCAATCTATCCAATTTAAACTATGAGAAGAATTTCCAATCATTCATCCATTGTATTCTGTACTAATTAAGCAGCAGCACTTTCTTTTATTTACAATTGTATATATCAAGTGTTGTGTTTTCATTGTCATTCGGGGTTTCGGATAGGAAAAACATTTAACTTTATCCTTATCAAATTCAAATCTAACTAACTTTGCTTTTTATTTTCCTCGTTACAACAAATAAACTTTTTTTCTTATTTTCTTTTCTTTCAGGAAATCTGAAGTTCGTAATGTTTAAAATGAAACATCCTTGTATTGTTCTGTGTGGACGCGTATAAGAATGAACAACAACAACAACCAAAAATTTCAAGTTAATTCTTCACTGAAATTCTATTAGGATAGAGCAATGATAATTTCAGAATTCAATGAAGAATTATTATTATTATTATTATCATCATCATGATCGTTATGGTTTGAAATTGTCTTATTTTTAAGATTCTATTTTGTTCCTACCTCAATTTTTTTTGTTGTTGTTGTAAAAGTAATCGTGATTGGCATTCGGAATTTTTGTTGTTGTTGTTGTTGATGAGAAACTTATTGTTTAGCATCTTCAATATATTCAATTAACACACACAAACAAACGTTGATATTTTCAAAATAGATAGAGATTCTGTATTTCTTGATCATAAACATACAAATAAACAACAACAAAGAAAATCTATAGAAATAAATAAAAAGTCATTATCTGATCATATTCTATCAACTTCAATCGATCTTTCAATTTCACCTTTCAATTTTTTTTGTTGATATGAAATGAAATTGATTTTTGATGATGTTGATGAGTTTTGTTATCGTTATCCAATAATCTATATCTTATATTAAATTGATTTTTTTAAAGAAAGCGAAAAAATTCTTAAGCCATTAATAAGTGGTAGTAATATAATTATTAATTAGTTCTATTTTCATTTGAATGTTTTAGATATTCCAGTAGTGAAGAAATCATCATTACAGATAATATTTTCGTTTTGTTTGTTAATATTCTACACCAGTTAGTCGTTTTATTGTTTTGTTTTTTCTATTTTTAGTTTTTATTTTCTATCTATTAATATAATTAATCTTTATAATGATGATAATTACAAATAATTTTTTTCTCTTCTTTTCTATTTATTTTTGAATGGAAATTTCTGTTTGTTTTTTTTGTCGGTCTGCGAAATTGAAAAAATGACATTAATTCGATCCAATTATAATCGATAATCTTAATGATGGTAATTATGATATTATGCGTTGGTGTAAATGTGATTCGTTTCCTTAATTTATTTACGGAAAGTTTTCGCGTGTGTGTGCGACTGTGTATGCTATTTCATTAGGTAATAAGAACAGATAATAGAATCTTTAATTATTTCTATTGAAAAAAAAGATGAAAATGAGAAAAATTATTATTTTTGAATATAGTAGAATAGAATAGATTGGACTCGATTCGGGATAAAAATAATTTTAAAACTATTTTTGACTGGTTACATTTCTTAACAATTTCTATTATCATGAAATGACGATTGGAAATGAAAATATTTCTAACAAAAAAACAACTGAAAGCTTCTTATGACATTGAATTCAATGTTAATTTTTTTCCCAAATCTAATGGAATATGATTCTCGACGGAATCAGTATGAATCATAATTTTTTTTCAATGCATAAAATTTCGAATGAAATTTACTTTAAAATCTGTTTTTTGCAATCGAAATATTCGATGACAAAAATGAAATTTTTTGTAAAAATTTTAAGATTTTTCATTTCTTTGTTGTCGTAAATGAAACTTTTCTTCAGAATTCTTTCATTATTTATCAAAAAGCTTTTTGGTTTCTGGTTGAATTAGTTGATTTTTTTTCTTACATACACACACATTTATGTTGTTAAAACAAGAACAATTCTGGTCAAGTGGAAAAAAAGAAATTTTCAAAAACACAGACTTTAGGTTTTTGTTTTGAAACCCATATTTATTTATACAAACGATACACACCCGGTGGCATGTTTGTGGGCAACTCAATTTGATCGATTGATCATATTGTAGATGACATATTTTGACCATTTTCGTTTTTTTGCTTCTGTTTCGCTTGGTTTCGTTTTGTTCTCCTTTTTTTTTATTCTTTGCTAGGATTGCAATAAGTTATCTTATCATCATTTACTGAATTTTTCGATACATTTACACACACGCACTACTAAACGACATGATAATGAATCGAATGATTAAATGGCTTTCTCATTAATCGGATAGTTTGATGTATCCATTTGATTTTAGCTAGTTTCACTTTGATCTATTGAACTTTCTTTTATTTTTGTTTAAATCCGTTTTTTTTGGTTTTGGACAAAATGTGATTTGATTGATTGATTCTTCAATCGATTCATTTTTTTTGTTCCTGGCCATCAGATGACATCATCGATTTGATCGATGGAATTCCGTTTGGTATATATTGGCCGATGTATTGATTTTACAATTTGAAAATATATGGATCATATTTCATCACCTAATTGAATGAACCTAGATTTTGATTGATTTAATCATAAAAGAATTGTTTTTGGATCTGTATGACTAAATTTTAATAATATTTCTATCAATTGATAGTTGGTCCTGTTTTTTTTCTTTATGGATTTGTTTGTTCCGCCTTAAATTTTCATATTTTCACGCTTTTCATATTTCATTCTATTGAACGGAAATTGACAGAGAATATTGTCCTTTTTTTCATTTGGATAATTGTTTTCTATATATACGCATAAGGTCATATTAATAAATCTATTAGATTGAATTCAATGGAATTAAAGAAACATTTACAAAGAAAGAAAGAAATGGTAAAATCCTATCACAACGATATATTTCTCTCTCTCTTCCTCATTACAAATCGAAAAATATTTTTCCAATCACCATTAGAATAATCTTCTATCGTTATTTCGAATCGATAAGAAAAATAAAAATTGCTGTTGTTCGAATTAATCTTTGTTTACTTTCTAGCCAATTTTCATCATTATTATCATCAAAATCATTTCATCCATAAGATTTCATAAACAAAACGAGAAAACTTTGGTGATTAATTTAGCTCCGACGTAATAGAAGCAATAATTTTTTTCTGTTTTAATCTTTTGTGGATAATTCTGTCGATAATTGAATAGTGGATTATAAATTATTCTGTTTTTTTTTCTCAAAAATTTTGAAAAATAATTTGACTTTGATCATTTGAGCATGATCATACAGAAATTCTTATTGAATTTAGCATTCTGTGTTTAACTTTTCCAACTTCTTTTTTTGTTTCGGTTTCATTTTAAAATGAATTCATAGCAAAAATTTTTTTGGTTAAATTGATCGTTTTTCTTTTATCTTTTACATTTCGAAATTCATTGTAGTTGATTTTTTCTTATCACACTTACATTTACTGCACTTATTATTAATGAATGAATTACAAATTAATGTTCATTTCGAACGTTGATGGATTTTATTTCGGTTTTTTTCTGTAGCTCATTTCGCCGCTTTTTTTGAACGGCGTTAATTGTTTTCCATTTCATTTCATTTTCAATTTCAAACATTTTTTATAAATGATTTCTGACAAAATAAAAATTAAAAAGAAAAGAAATAAATTCGAAATGACATCATAAATGTGTATCGATTGAAAAAAAATTAAATTTTATTTTGATTCATCAATAAATGTTCATAGGTAGGCGATGGTAATCCTTAATTTAATGACGATCTTTAAAATTGTGTTGGTACTGGCATTGAAGAATTTGTTCCAACAACAACTGGTGGCTGTGTCGGCGGATATTGAGTTGTTACCGTCGTAGTGTAGATTGCATGCGGCACTCTTCGGTTGACAGTAGTAGCATTTGCGGCTATTCGCACACATAAGTATCTAATAAGATAGATCAAAAACACAATTAATCCAAAAAACATAAGTGTTGATAACACAAATCCCACAATATCGGCCAGTGATGGATTAGAACCCATCATTATCATCACAATAATTGTTAAAAGGTTTTTAGAATGTTCGATCTTATTACGCCTGGTTTGATCAAATCACAAATGATAAATTTCCAACTATCAAAAATGATTAAA